CCCCCCCACCCCGTGCCCACCCGTTGGTCACCCTGGTCTGGGCAGGGCAGCATCCCCCAGCCACCCCCCAGCTCCATCTGGGACCCTCTGGAGCCTGCCCTGCCCTGCCCTTGGCTGGGGGTCACCGGCTCCGTGTGCCAGCTGTGCCAGGCTCTGCCCTCCAGGGCAGCCAGATCCTGCCAGGCAGCTTTGCTACTTGGGGCACAGACCCAAAACTTGAAGGACTGTCTCGATTTGTTAAATGTAGCAGCTTTTGTTTGTTTTCTTCCAAGTGTTTTCCAAATATTGAGGTTTCTTCCAAGTGTTTTGCAAATATTTAGGGTTTAGCTCTTACAAAATCTGTTCCCAGTGTGGCAGGCAGAGAAAAAGGGGATTTTTGATGCTTTTCAAAGCTTTGAAAGCATTGGGATCGCCTTGCTGCGAGGGGAACAGGGATCCTGGTCCCAAAGCTGGGTCTGCTCTCTTAAATTCTGCTCTCACAGAATTTAATTCATTTGGAGGCTGCAGCACTATTATTTTTAATAAGAGCCATTGGCACGGCTGCTCAGGTCCCCAGTGTGCTCCTGCCTCCGCCCAGCCTCGCTCCCCTTCCCGCCCCTCCTGCCCCCTCTGCCAATTAAAAATCCTGCCTAATTGCTGCCCTTCTGCCCTGCTGGCTCAGAGAGGCCGGGCAGGAACAAACCAGGGCTGGAAATGCCAGTGCTGTTGTGGGAGAGGGGCAGGGCAGGACAGGGATGGAGGGTGAGGATGAGCAGGGAGGGCGAGGTTGCGTAGGATGCTCAGAGCATCAGGAAAATGCCCCTTCCCAGGGTGGATGTGGCAATGGGACCACGTGAAGACAGAGCTGGGGCAGACGCTTTCCTTGAGCTGCTTTTTTGGGGCCGAGCCCTCCATTGCAGCTTTTTTCCCATCTGAAAAAAGGGGTGAAAAGCGTTTTCCCTTGGGACCAGGGGAAGGCGAGGCCCATCCCCGGCGCTGGGAAGCTTCCAGCCACACGTCGCCTTCGGCAGCTTTATAAAGATTCTCTGCCGAGATTACTTCTTTCATTTATTGCAAAATATTGTAGCGCCTTCGATGTGTAAAAATAAGGATTGTCCCATCTTATCTCGGAAGGGATGGGGGGGAGGGAGGGAGGGAGCGGCACGTTTCTCTGGTGCTGCTGTTAACCAGTGAGGTGCCGTGTCCTGCCACGTTCCCACTTGGATTCTCCTTCAGGAGTCCTTGCTCAGGGCTGTGCTGCTGCTGGTGCTGATCCCCAAATTGTTCCTTCTGTGCACCCAAACATCCTGCTCCCCATCCCCTTCCAGAGCTGGGCAGTTGCCAGGCAGTGCAGTCTCATGGACTGGAAATTAAAGACACAAATTGCCAGTGCCTGTGCTCATCCTCCTCCAGGGAAGAGGGATCCCAGCCAGGGATGTTGTTCCAGCACCAGCCTGGGGGACACACAGACACAGTGGAAATTCTGCTGAGTGTCCATCCTGTCCTTCCTGGTCTGGAGCATCCTTCCCAGTACCGAGCATCCTTCCTAGCAGTGAGGATCCACTCTGTCCTTCCTGGTTCTAAACCTTCTTCCTGATCCTGAACATCCTTGCCAATATTGAGTGTCCTTCCTGGTCCTGGGCATCCTTCCTGGTGCCATTTTGATCCCACAACTGCTTTAACCAAGCAGACCCTGGTTATCTTCCTTTCCCTCTTTTCTTCCCATCTTCCTTTTTTTTTCCTAGACCTCGTGGGCAGTGGCTGCAGCTGGGCACGGTGTGGGGGTCCCTGGGGACACCTGGGGTCAGAGGAGTGCAGGGGATGCAAGGAATACCGTGAATGCGGGGGATTTGGGAGATGCAGGGAATGCTGAATGTGAGGGGGATGTGGGGGATGTGAGTGGTGCTGGCAGCAGGTGGGCACGTTAGAGGAGGCTTTTGGGAGTGGTTTCTCCCACCCTTCCTGCAGCCATCCCTGGTCCCTGTCAGACATTTTGCCTCATCCTGCTGCTCCGGGCACAAAGCTCCCTGCTGCATAAACCGAGATTTATTCCGGACCGCATCCCCAGCGGGGTCTGGGATTTACATCTGTGTCTGGGACTGGGTTTGGTGGCCAATTTGCTAAAGTAAAAAGTTGTTTAGCTGGAGGCGTAATCTCATAAGCCCGTGCTGCCATTAGCCAGGGTCTCCTCTCTGCCTGGCTTTCCAATAATGCTCCAAGCAGAAGCTCAGAGTAATATAAAAAGCCATCGGATTATTACTGCGGGCGATGCATTTTCCATTTACTGTAATAAAATACTGAAGAAACAAAACAATTTAAAATTCCAATAAAATTCAAACCAAATCTTTGGCTGCTGAGCAGATTCAATTATTTAGCTGTTATTGAGTGCAGGCTGGAAAAATAGAGCAGGTCAGGGAGGGAGGGGGAGCTGGGGGGTGCCGGACGCATCCCATGGGAATGTCAGTGAGGGAGGGAGCTGGGAGGCAGGGAAACATCTGGGAGAAGGGGCTGCTGCTGGGCACTGGGCACTGGCAGGGGCTGGGCTGGCTTTAGGGATGGCAGGAGGCGCGGTGGTGATGAGTGTGCTGGCAGCCCGGGGGATCCCGTGCCCCGCTCCGATGGGTGGGCTCCGATGCTCCAAGTTCAGGGCACGGACGCGGAGGACGAACAGCGAGCGGCCGTGTCTGGGCCGGCTGTGCCGCCGGTGCCGCGGTGGCTCGGGCGAGTTTGCATCTTGCAGCAATTACAGCCCGCTGGAAAGCAGTAATTACTGCGGAGAGCGGCAGCGCCGCAGCCGCCGGCGTGCCGGCAGCCGCCGGGAAAGCGGCCGCTCTGTAATTTTCCCGGCGGGGGTGCGGTGCGTCACCCTGAGATGTGACAACACACCGAATTGGTGGCTTGTCACATCCAACCCAGCTGGAGCAAGGAGGCGACAAAGGCGGCTCCGGGCACGCGCCGGGGCTGGCGGGTGGGATGCCCTCGGCCAGGCTCGGATCACCGGGTCACCCCTGAAGTGTCACCTGCAGCCCCAGTGCTTGGGGACAGGGTTTTGGTTGTCCCCGTCAGGGAACCGCGGTGCCCGCGGGTGACACCACCTCCTTCCCTCCCTCCTGCAACAGCCCCTTGGTTTTTTAATGTTTTTCCTGGGAAAGGAGCATTTCCACGGAATGGGCTCATTAGGGATTCTGCGAGTGTCACCAGCTAATTAGTGTCATGTTAATTGAGTATTCGTGATGCTGCCACCTCCAAGGACAGTGGTGCTGGCATGAAGGGGAATGCAGATGTGTGTGCTGTGCCGTTCCTTGCCGTGCCATTCCATGCTGTGCCATTCCATACCGTGCCTCTGGGCAGGCAGAGGGGTCCCATCTGCAGCCCCCTGCACCCTCTGGCTTGGGGGCTGCCCATGCCCAGCAGAGCCCACCGTGCCCCCTCAGTGTGCCCTCTCTGCCCTGCTGGCTCTGCAGGAGCACTGGAGCTTCCCAGAGGCTGGGGGTCAGTGCCTGGGATGTCCTGGTGCCACACGTCCTCACGTGTCCTGCCTGAGGGAGCTGCTGGTGCTGTTCCTCCTGTGTTCCAGCAGCTCCATTAAATCCTCCTCAAAGGCGCTGGTTTTAATTGGCTTAATACACTTGTTAATAACAATGCCTATTTAAAGACACCTGTAAAAAGCCCATAATATCAGCTTAATGGGAGCAATGGCTGGTGCAGGCGCTGCGTCCTGCCTGGGCAATTACTGCACTGATGGAAAGCATGGAGAGCATGGAGAGCATGGAGAATGGCCATGGGTGGAGAGCATGGAGAGCATGGAGAGTGGCCATGGATGGAGAGCATGGAGAGCACCCACAGCATCACTGCTGTGTCCCCCCATCCGCTGCTGGGAGCGGAGGGTGATGTGGGCAGTCACAGATTCCAGTGCGTCCCTCCCGCTGAATCCTGGTTTTAACCAATGCCTGGTTCATCCGGGCATGTCACAGCCATGGAAATGTCACTCAGGGCAGGACTGGGACAGGCAATCCCTTCACAGGGAGTGTGGAATGTACCCAGAGGTGCAGCTCTTCCACGGTGACTTTGCCACCCAGGATGTGGTGGCATCAGGGGTTGCTGACCATGGGGGCATTGGGAGCAGAGTGCTCCAGGTCCTAAGGGGCTGCACTGCCTGGGGAGGCTGGGCCTCCCCAAACCCCCCAGTTTTACCATCTCTCTCTTACAAAACCTTGCTCTGGGCAGGCACCAGGTCTGGCATTCCCAGTGAGCCACAGACATCCCTTGGCAGGGCTGGGAATTTTGGGAACCAGCTGGGAACCAGCCATCGTCCCCGTGTGCTGACGTGTACGTGCATGTGCCTGCGTGTGTGTGTGTGAGTGTGTGTGGAGATTTTAAACACCTAATTTATTCCATCTATTAGATAGATTTTGTAGATTTAATCATTTTCACAGTTGGTGGCTCATTGGATACTCAAGATAAACTCCAAATGAAAGTATAATGGGAACGACAAATGAGTTTTCACACCAGAATGGCAGAAACTTGCTCAGGAAAGAGTTTGAAAGGAACAAAACTATATACATATATAATTTTTTTTTTCTGCAGTGGCTTTTGCTGACTCCAGTAGGTTACCACAGTTAATTTCACCAGTTTTGTTCATCTGTAAAATTGCATAAAAGTGACATTTTTGTGCTCATTATAGGAACTGCTGATTTATGGCTGGTAAATGCAATGCTTTTCCATTTTTGGTGAAGTTCTCGTAGCAGCGCAAAGCACCCATGAAATTGCTTGTATAATGTAGTTTAAATCCAATCTCAGAGAAAGATTCCCCCATTGGGTAAAGTGACATTTCCATTCTCCACACCGAGTTTATTTTAGGCCACTTACAAGTGACTCCCGTCAGCGGGAGGGGACAGCTCGGTGCCGTGACCTGGTTTCTGCCGGGAGCGGGTGGGATCCGGCGGGGGGAGGATGGTGCTGGGGGGCTGGGTCCCCTCATCCTGGTGGCACTGGATTCACCCCAGGCTTTGCTCCCGCAGGCGAGACGGCCCCCATGCATTCCCCGCGCTACCCCAGCCCCGCCGAGCTGGATGCCTACGCACAGAAGGTGGCCAACAGCCCGCTGACCATCAAGATCTTCCCCACCAACATCAGGGTCCCCCAGCACAAGCACCTTAACCGGACGGTGAACGGCTACGACACCACGGGGCAGAGGTACAGCCCCTACCCCCTGCACGCCGGCGGCTACCAGGGGCTGCTGGCCATCGTCAAAGCCTCCGGCAAAAGCGTGGTGAAGAACTCGGAGGGGAAGCGGACTAAGCTCTCGCCTGCCCAGGTGGGCGTCGCTCCCTACCCCGCCTCAAGCACTTTAGCTCAAGGTCCCTCCTGCGCCGGGCAGCTGAGCTACCACGGCGGCCAGAAGCAGCTGGAGGGTCCCGTGCCCCCCAACGTGACGGTGGCGGCCTCGGTGCTGCCTCTGGCGGGAAGGAGCCTGGCCCTGCCGCCCTCCAACCTGCCCTCCATCCAGAGCATCATCTACCAGATCAATCAGCAGTGCCAGGCGCAGGGTGCCCAGCCCGGCTGCCCGGCCGTCGTGGCCGCCCACCCCAGCCCGGCCAAGCACGGCGCGTTCGGCCCCGGCTACGGCGGCACCGTCCTGCCCGAGTGCCGCAAGGGCGCCGAGCTGGCGCTGGGCTCCAACCCGGCCGCCGCCCTGGGACCCAAGGCGGGCGTTTACCCCGAGGGCATGGACTACCTGGTGTGGCAGCAGAAGCAGCAGCAGCAGCACCTGCGAATGTACAGCGGGGGCAGCGGCGGCGGGGGGGCCCTCAGCAAATCCCCCGAGACGTGCGCGGGCGCCTCGCGGCCCTACGGCCTGGGCGGCGCGGCCGACAAGGTGAGCTCGTCGCCCTTGAACTGCATGCACGGCAACTTCGCCGTGGGGCAGTACTTCGCTCCCCCCTGGAACAGCATCCTGGTGACCCCCAACAGCGACTGTTACAACCCACCGGAGCTGGGGGCCGGGCCCCGCGAGCTGGGGGTGCCCCCGGCCGAGGGGCTGCCCAGCAAGACCCTCTGCAATACCTCCATCCTCAGCAGCAGCCTCCAGTCCCTGGAGTATCTCATCAACGACATCCACCCGCCCTGCATCAAGGAGCAGATGCTGGGCAAGGGCTACGAGACCGTGTCTGTGCCAAGGCTCTTGGACCACCAGCACGCCCACATCCGCCTGCCCGTCTACAGATAAGGGATTGATGCTGCTCTTCCCAAACCCAGGGCGAGGACTTTGGCGCGAGCTGCCGGTACCGGACGGCGGCAGCGAGGGCGGGGGGACAGGGAGGGGGACGCGGGGTCGGCTGCCGAAAGGGCTCCCGGGACACTGGCGTTGCACCGGGGCCCCCAGACTGGACACACCCGCGACCCGCTGGAAGCGAAGGACCGCTTGTCTATATAGCTCAGAAATCATTTTATCTCCACGAATGTGAACAGGGAATTGCTACGAGTTGCTGCTATCCAGGGAGGGGAGGCTCCGCTGCGCTGGCGGTGCCCAGAGCGGGGCAGAGCCCGGTGTCGTGGCCGGCCGGGAGGCTCCAGGGTGGGTCCCAGCCCAGGGTGTGGCCAGGGGGGGCTCTGTGGTGGCCGGTGCTGACCTGGCAGCTGTCCAGGAGGCTCCACAGTGGCCGGTCCTGGCACCATGGTGGCCAGTGCCTGCCCAGTGGTGGCCAGTGCCAGCCCGGCGTGCGGCCGGTGCGTGGCTGCAGGGAGCTGGCGCCTGACCTGTAGCTGAAGTCCGTAACTTGCACTGCTTTGATTAAAGCTAATAACTGGGGACAGTCTGGAGGCTATTTAAGAAAAACACTTGAAAACTTGAACAGATTTTTTTTTTTTAAATTTTTTTTTTTAGTTGACTAGGCTGTACATCTACGTGTTGGCTGCTACAGAGTCTCCTCCCACCCCTCTTCTTCCTCATCCTCCTCTCGCCCGGCCCCACAGTGGCCACGGCTCCTATTCCCACTCAACCAGGAGATTTGGGACCCCCTCAGCCCCTCTCTCCCGGGAACCCCCTGGCTCTCACACTTCCAGGCTGTTTTATTTCCCCCCTTACTGTCGGTTCTACCTTGGTTCTGGGTCGCGGTACCAGGGCACTCGTATACCTCCTTTTTTTTTCTCTTTTTTTTTTTTTTTGAAAAAAAAATAACCAACCCCAAACAATTCCAAAATGCTCATTACGGTCCGTTATTCACTCCGTGTAATTCTGTGTTTAATAGATTTGTTCATTTACAAAAGGCTCCTCACCACGAAATACAAAGTGTTTTGATGTTTAAAGGTAAAAGAAGAATAATATCCCAATGAAACCCAAGGTGATTGTGCTCGGAAAAGAGGTACTGTATCCCTGAAAGCCTGTTCAAGCACTAAGTGCATTTACAAATCTCTGAGAATGTTTTTTTTTTATACTAAAATTGACCATTATATTCTACTGTGAGAAGTGCTGGCTGCACTATATTGTTTTAAAAATGAGAAAACAAAATGAAAAAAAAGTAAGAAAAAAAAAAAAGTAAAAAAAAAGAAAAAAAAAAAGAAAAAAAACCAACACAAAACCCGCAAGCCGTGTGTCCGGATGGTGTTTTTCCCAAAGTAAAACCAGGATCTCGCTGGATGTGTGCTCTGGAGTCTCTTTGCTTTGCTGTGGGCTCCCCCAGAGCTGGGACACCCCTCCTCCTCCAGGAGATTTTTAGGGCACAGAGGAGCACCTATAAATAACCCGTTAACGATGCTGAGCCATTAATCCCAGCACCAGTCTCCGCCTCACACCCAAGGGACTGCACATGGGACAAATCCCTGGGATTAGGGGCTGTGGCCTCACGTGCACCCATGGGACACCCACGGGGCAATGGGTGCCGGGGTCAGGCACCGCGTCCCCATCCCATCACCGCCGCAGGGGGTGGCATCTCCGCTGCCATCCGTCACCCATGGCCAGCTTCCCGCTGGGTTTCCCCATGGAAGGGACATTCCTGGTGCTCTCCTCTCACTCTTAAACCTGACCTCCCTGCTCTGCCCGGCAGCAGCAATGAGTCAGTGGCACCACCGGGAGGATGGTACTGGATCCCAAATTGCTCCTGGCTGTGGATGCGTCTCCTCGGCCTCTGTGTCCCGTGGTGGGACACACGGCATGGCCTGATCCCAGCTGGATGGGATGGGATGGGATGGGATGGGATGGGATGGGATGGGATGGGATGGGATGGGATGGGATGGGATGGGATGGGATGGGATGCGATGGGATGCGATGGGATGGGATGGGATGGGATGGGATGCGATGCGATGGGATGGGATGGGATGGGATGGGATGTGATGGGATGCGATGGGATGCGATGGGATGCGATGGGATGCGATGGGGACAAGGACAGTGATGGGGACACAGCCACGGGCCTGGAGCTGCCCCGTGGCCATGGCTGAGGCCGGGGCTGGCAGCTCCATTTGCTCACTCACCATAACTTGGCCGGTATTTATGGCACGCCAGGAGGGGACCGCTCCGTCACCAGCAGCAAGCGGCATGACAGCCAATCCAGGGAACAAAGAGAAATTGGGACAAAAGGAAATTTTCACAGAGGTTAACATTACTGATGGGGGGTGCCACTGCCTGCCTGCACATTAAAATTAGTCAGTCTGGAGGAAGATCTTTGCTCAGATCTTTGTCATTAAAAAGATGCCACATCAAAGGAATGTGAGGCTGGAGCGTGGCAGGGCTGCAGGCGGGTCCCTCTGCGCAGGGCAGCCCCTCCTTGGGGACTCCCCCACACCAAAATGGGGACTTTACAAAGGCTGGGGTGCGTGGAGCCGTGCTGGGGGCTCCAGGAGAAACTTTGCTCCGTCAGCGGTGCCCGTGGGAGGAAGATTCATTAGCGCTGCCTCCATCAGATTTCCCAGCTCGCCATAAATCAGGGCGAGTGGCTGGGAGCGACGGCGCGATCCATCTTGCAGGTCTCCAAGTCATTACATTTCATTAGGAGGTGTGCGGGGGTTTTTATTATTTAGCAGGTTAATTCTCCCCTCAGATCGCTCCTTGGGAGGAGGATTTCGCTGGGCACAGGGAGGCTTCAACTGTGGAATGCAAAATAAATGGGTCCCACCTTGGCAGGCACCTGCCTCCAGCCAGGGCTGTCCCAGTGCCAGCTCTGGCAGGTGCAGGTGAGCACGTGGGGACCCAAAATGTGCACAGGCACCTGTGGGAGATGAGGCAGGGACACCTGAGGTATGTCCCAGCACAGAGGATGAAGACACCACAACCCATTGTCCTCCCATTCCATGGGACACAGCCCCCACGAGCGCTGCGGGAACACATTGAAGGAAACTATCCTGCTTCTGGCCTACAGATATCTTCCTATTCAAATAATACCAATAATAATACAGATTTCTAAGGCAGGTGTGCATGAGGCTGATATTAAACTTAGCGGCCGCCTTTGCTGTTTGGGAGCGAGGAGGAGAGACAGGCAGTATAAATTGCACGGCTGCAAAAGGACTTAAAAAAACCCATCTCTCATTTTGATTGATATTAGCTTCACAAATTAAGCTTTAGATTTATCTAAAAATAAATTTGCTTCCACGCTCCGCATTCTGGATGACAAGTGCTTTTCTCTTCCCTTTGTTGGGTTTGTCATCGCTGGCAGGGCGGCACAGGGAGGGGTGGGAGGGGGCCGGGGCCAAGCACCCCCTGTTCACCGGCCCCCAGGGTGCCCCCATCACCACAGCTGAGGGTGAAACAGCTCAAGGCTTGGTGGGGCAGGGGGTGAAAGGGCCAAAGTCAATCCCTGAAGGTGGCAGAGGCCTCCTGTGCTGGGATGTCACCACGGTGGCTGTGGTGTCCCCGTCCTCACAGAGCCACGGCAGGGTGCAGAGTGATGAGGCTCGGTGACAGCTGCCCTTCCCACACCCCAAATCTTTTAAAAGCCCATTGACATGTGGCCTCTCGGCTTTGGGGCATCGAGATCTGCACGGGAGGGGAAAAAATTGGTTTATATCTCATTTTACTGGAAAATCCCACCTCTGGCACATTGGGTGGCTGAGTCCTGCTCCAGGGCTCCCCAGACACCACACCTGGCCCAGCCAGGACTGGACTGTGCCACCCAAGTTTGTTTTCACCCAAGAACCGGCCTAGCAGCAGAGCAGCTCAGCTGCTCATTTGATTATGAAGCAGGAGCCGCCACCTCCGCCTCTCCCAAGGAGCAATAATGAAACATATTCATCCCTCACCCTGGGGAAATACTTAAACCACAATATGAGAGATGTATGTAAATCACATTTAAACGGAGACAGTGCCGTTAACGCTAACGGCGACTCATCAGGTTGGAAGATGAAGTGTCCCCTCTGCTGCTGAAGCATTTGCTGAGAGAGCTGGGCTGTCCCCAGGGCCCTGGCCAGGGTCTCTGTCAGTGTCACCGTGTCACCATGCCACTGCTGCCCACACAAAGTGCTCCTTCACACTCGCACAACGTCCAGCTGCTAAAGGAACTCTCACCACTGCAGGCGGCTGGGAGGATGAGGATCAAAGGAGTTACAGAGGGGTGATGGATGGGATGGAGTGAGGATGGGGATCCATGGGGATGGGCGAGGGACGGGAGGAGATGGGGCACGGATGCGATGGGGATGGGATGAGAAGCATTGGTTTATCCCTCGGCCCGTTAGCGGCCCCACGCCTGGTTCCACATCGCGCGGTGTGTGCCGCCCTCCAGTGGGGCGGCCTCGCACTGCGACAGTGCACCGGATCCCTGCACCGCATCCCTGCACCGCATCCCTGCACCGGATCCCTGCACCGCATCCCTGCACCGCATCCCTGCACTGCATCCCTGCACCGCATGTGTGCATCGTAACCGTGCACCGCATCCGTGCACCGCATCCCTGCACCGCATCCCTGCATCGTAACCATGCACCACATCCCTGCACCGCATCCCTGCATCGTAACCATGCACCGCATCCCTGCACCACATCCCTGCACCGCATCCTTGCACCGGATCCCTGCACCGCATCCCTGCACTGCATCCCTGTACCACACCCGTGCATCACATCCCTGTACACACCTGCACACATCCCTGTACCACACCCGTGCACCACACCTGAGCTCAGCCTGATGGGTGACCGTGCCCAAAAGCATGGCTTGGCACGGTTCGGCTTGGCCTGGCCTGGCACGGCCAGAGCAGGCAGCTCCTCCATCCCTCCCCGAGCCCTGCCGGCAGCCTGGCTCTCCCATCCGGAATCACCCAGCGCCGGGAGGAGGCGGCGGTGGCGGGTCAGTTTTTATTACTAAATAAATAGTCGTACAAATCTTGTGCAAAACTCTGTGGCAAAACCATCGGCCTTGGTGGGCAGCGGGGGCCGTGCTCCCCACCCCGGCCCGGCCCGGGGCTCCCGGCACAGCAAAGCCAAGCGGTGGCACTGGAGCTCGCCGGTACCGCCGGGGCAGGACCAGGGCCCCATCCGGGCTGGACACCCGCGGGGACAGCGGCTGCCGGAGGGACAGAGGCTGCGCGAATCCCTGAGGAGCAAACAAGCACCATCCAGCTCAGTGGCGATTCCGGAGCCGCTCCGGGGGCCCGGGCAGAGTCCATCAGCTGCCGGTGCTGCCGTGCTAGAGCGGGGAGCTCGGGGCATGGCAGTGCCTCCGCTCCCGAGGCTCCGCTGTGCCCACGGTCCCCAGGGGCACCACCACTTCCTCCGGCGGGCAGCTCTTGTTCAGCTCCACCACGCGTGGCACCACCGTCGACCACCGATCTGTGGAGATGTGCAGAGCTGGGAGCCCGTGGCTGCTCCCCAAACCCCCAGATCTGCCCCTGGGGCTCATCAGAGGCTGCAAGCAGCATCCTGAGGGATGCTCCCAGCCCACAGCGCGGCGCTCACCTCTCCGCAGCCGGCCCACGGTGTGCGAGAAGCCGTAGTACTGGTATGTGTCGCTCTTGCCTGGGTCCTCACTGATGATTCCCAGATTCTGGTTCCAGTGGGACCAGTTCACCTCATCCACCCTGTGGGGAAGGTCAGACACGCAGGGGATGCACGGAGCGCCCGGGAGCCAGGGCAGGAGCACCGGCACCCACCAGCAGTGCCAGCTGAGTCTGGACCAGTACAAAGCGCCCAGCAAACGAGTGCACAGTGCCAGCCCCCCAAAATGCTGCTGGCTCTGGTGGGAGAGGCTCAGATGAGCCTTTCTGAGGGCTCCCACCTTTACCTGAAGCACCAGCGGCGGTCAGGGGTCCCGTCCGTGCCCTTCCCCACAGTGACCATCTCCCCCGAGCGGAAGGCTTTCCGTAGGAACACCGGGAAGGAGCGCTCGATGTCCAGGATGGTGGTGGCCCACTGCCAGGGACACCAGGGACTGTTTGAGCATGGAGGTGCCTTGCCCATGCACAGGCAGCCCCTGGAGCCCCCAGGGTGGTACCTGCAGCTTCCAGATGTGCTTGCTCTCCTTGGAGACTTGGCCCACGGTCTCACCCATGAGGGCGATGAGCATGTTGAGGAGGAGCACAAAGGTGAGGATGATGTAGGTGACAAGGAGGATGATGAAGACACCGGGGTACTTGGCGCTCTCGAGCATCTCCAGGTCACCCATGCCGATGGTGAGCTTGAAGAGGTCGAGCAGAAAGGTGCTGAAGGTCTGGCTGTCCCGGCAGGATGGGTAGGTGGGCACGGTGCAGTTGGGCTTCTCGCTGCACGACTCACTGCTGGGACACGGGTTGAGGAGGGACACCAGGGCTGGGGGAGAAGGGACAGGGACAACGAGTCCGCAGGGGCGATGGCAAGGACAGGATCCACAATGGGCCCCAGTGTGGCTCCATGCTGGCTGAGACCTTCTCCACCACGGGAGGAGGCAAAGGCTGAGCCTGTGGGCAGGTGGGATGGAGCAGGGGGTCTGCAGCCCCCTGCCCAGCCATGCTGAGCCACAGGGCTTGTCCTTCCCCCAGCCAGGGGGCCTGGCCGGTTACCTGACGCGTAGCCGATCATGAAGAGCAGGTAGACCAGGAGGAAGCGGAACAAGTCTTTGAAGAGGATCTAAAAGTGGTGGAGAGTAGGGTGAGGTGTGCTGGACCACAGCATCATCACCAAGCTGGCACAACTGGGCTGGAAGCAGGGCAGTGGAGAGCCACAGGAACCCTTCACAAAGCCTGGAGGAACCTCTTTAGGTTGTACTTCCACAGGAGGATCACCCCTGGAGAAGGACAAGACCCACGACCCCACCAGACCTTCTGGATCATGATGCTGTAGGTCCCTGTCAGCTTGAGCCCACGGGTGAAGTACAGGGCGTTCATCCAGCCCAGGACCAGCGCAAAGACCATGACAGCCAGGTAGGCCTCGATGCCACCCAGGTACAGCCCCGCCGTGACAATCACCAGCACCGAGTAGATGAAGCTGGAGGAGAGCTGGGGTCAGAGCACAAGCCCGAGGGCTTCAGTGGCCCATGGCAGCCCTGGGGGTTCCCCACATACTAGAGCAGCTGGAAGGAGCCATCTATGAAGAAGGAATTCACACCCGGGCACTTCTTCATGAACAGGTCTTTGATCTGTGGGAGAGAGGAAGAGGTTGGAGGGTCTGGGTTGCAGGGTCCCTGTGTCTGGGGCCACTGTGGCAGGGGTGGATGCCTCAGGGGATGGGGCTGGAGACCCCAGAAAGAGTTCAGCGGTCCCACGGAAGGACCCCCTGCCTTGCCACACTGACGTTTGTGCAGAAGAAGAGGATCCCAGTGAGGAGGGTGATGATCTCCCCGGCCAGGCGCAGGTAGTCAGCGGTGTTGGTGTAGGGGTAGGGCGGCTGCGGGGAGAGGACAGAGCTGAGCTGCTCCCCCATTCCCTGGGACAGAGACCTGCCAGACCCCGCTGCGAGGCAGTGCTGGCCCGTGGGGCTGTGCCAGCCTGGGGACTCACAGGGCCTTCCATGGGGCGGTAGTAGGCGACGAGTGTGAAGATGATCATGGCGCTGAGGTAGGAGACCACGCTGATGTAGAAGGAGACGGCCCCAAACTTGCGCCACTTGTCCCTCAGCAGCTCGTTGATGGGCTCCACGGCCAGCATCTCGTGACGGTTCTGGTGGGATGTGGGTGCTGACAGACGGGACAGGGCCACCCGGTCCCCTCCAGGCCCCTCCCAGTCCCCCCCAGCCCCTGCACACCTCGATCTTGCTGTTGTAGACGAGGATCTCCAGCACGGACACCTCCTCCCCGCAGGTGTCCAGCGAGGAGAGGTCATAGAGGGAGGAGTAGACGGGGCCGTACGCCCAGTCCTTGAATTTCCGGGAGAGGTGCCGGACGTCCTCGTCCGTGATCTCCCGTCGGATGATGTGCTGGAAGATCTGACGGAAGGAGGGAGGGAGGTCTGCTACCCAGAGACCTGGCCCCACCTGCCCCCCTCACCTCCTCCCACCCCATCCTGGGTGCATCCCCAACCCCCTCCCTGCACCCCAGTGGGCTCAGGATGCTCCCAGGTGCTCCTGGGGTGATGCAAAGACCAGCTCCCCAGGAAGCTGCAGCTTTTGCATTTTTGATGACTCCCCTGCCTGCCCCACCAGGGGCCAAGGGCAGGTCAGGGGAGGAATGGACCGTGTGAGGGTCTGGAGTTAATTAAGAAGGGGTCGGAATGCAAAGGGGTGTTAATTAGCCAGGTTAATAGGATGCACATCCAGGTTTCCACCAGCATCTGCAGAGAGAAGCCGGGCATGCACCGAGCATGACGGGGCTCAGCAGGGACGGCAGGGAGACATCCCCCAATACGGGGGGACACCGTACCCCGATCTTGCCGGTCTTGGCTGCCATCATGAGCGGGGAGAGCCCATCGTTGTTGAGCAGGGCCTCCAGGTTGGTGTCGGGGAAGAGCTTGGCGCACTTGACGAGGAGCAGGTCGTACATCTTGGTGACAAACTTGGTGTTCTCGCGGGTGTTGTCGGCGATGGCCACCAGGGCGTGCAGCACGGTGTTGCCGCGGGAGTCCTGGCGCCGCAGGTCCGCCTGCTTGTGCCCGTTCTCGGTCAGGTAGTGCACGATGTGCGGCTGGTTGGTGCAGGCGGCCAGCGAGAGGGGCAGCTCACCTGCGGGGACAACACCGGGGCTCCTGTCACCCCTTCTCCTCTGCGGAGACATCTTGGGGTGCAGCCCCCCGGCTCCCCCTCCCTGCTCACCGAAGTAGAAGTAGCCGCCCTCGCTCTTGGGCTGGAAGAAGCGGCCGCGGGCTTGGGCATGGACGTCTGCTCCCTTCTCCACCAGCAGCTCCACGTAGTGCTTGCAGCGGCGCTCGATGGCGATGTGCAGCGCTGTCTGGCCTGTGACACCACTGCCCGTCAGCCACCGCCTTGCCCCGGGACTTCCCCCGCCCTGCCAGGTCCCTTTTCTGGTCCCTGAAGCACCCCGGTGTCCCCCGTGCCCAGGCGGGACCAGCAGCGGCCCCACGCCCCCCACCTCGGTAGTAGACGTCCCTGAAGGGCGAGTTGATGAACTCCCGCATGTTTCCCGTCTTCTCGGCGATGTCCAGGAGGACGGGGATGGTGTCGTTCTTGCCCCCGCTCAGGTTCAGCAGGGCTTTGGGCAGGCACGTCTTTCCCGTGGAGGGCTCTGCGAGTGGAGGATGCTGAGGGGGCCCAGGGCAAACCCCTCAGGCCCCTGGCTGCCCATGCCAGAGCTGTGCATCCCCATCCCTCAGCACCGCAGGGATCCCCAGTGGTCACGGCACAGCCCCGGCACCAGGGCAAGGAGCGCCCAGGTCCTCACCTCGGAACTCCTCGTCTGTGAGGCGCTTCTTGTGGGTGAGCAGGAAGGAGAGGAGCCCATCCAGGCCGGCCGGGGACCCCCGGGAGACGATGTCGAAGAGGATGGGTCTGTTGAAGACCTTGAGGACGGGGGGCGGCTCGGGAGCCGGTCCCTTTGCGGCCGGTGGCTGCTTCCTGCGGGAGAAACGCCAGCGCTGGGAACGGGAGCCGCTGCCTCGGCTTCCCCCTCCTGTGCAACGAGCTTGGGGGTGCTCAGCCACTGGGGACAGGCCCGTGGGGACACCTCCCGGCTGGGGTCACCTGTGAGGCCTTGGCAGCTCGCACCTGGTGCTGCAGCGCTTGGAGCCCCCAGCTGTGCCCCCCGGGAGGGACGGGCTCGGTCACGCTCCGGCACCACGGGTGAAGCCAGACCGGTCAGAGCAGTCGGCAGCAGGAGGGGGGGATGGAGCGGGGACAGCCTTGGGCACCGGGAATGGGGGCACCGGGAATGGGGGCAGGACGGACGGCGGCTGCCCCAGCCGGGGACTTCCAGTCTGAGGGCTCATGGGGGCATCCTGGCCGCCTCCACCCACCTGCACGGGGGAACATCCCGCTCTCCTAAGCCGGTTGCAGCCCTGGGTGGGGACCCTGGCGGGCCGCCCCAGGTGCCCGGCACAGAGGGGCATTGTGCGTCCGGCCGCGGGCTGCCCCCCCCGGCTCCGGTTTCCTGGCGCGGGCAGGGCGGAGGCCCTCCTGAAAAGCCCTTTCATGCCGCAGCCAGACGGCCGCACGGGCCAGGGGAGCGGCCGGCGCACAGAGCCTCTTTCATGGCGCCCGTAAGGGGGAAGGGGAGCGCCATCCCGGCCCCGCGGTACCGGGGGCTGCGGACCCCCCAGCACGGCACGGCACAGCCCAGCGCTGCCGCTGGGACTCACTGGGAGCTGCCTCCTGTGCGCGGCACCTCTGCCCAAAGCACCCCAAAGTGCCGCTCGAAGGTCTGCCCGCGTCCCAGCTGCTGAGCATCCCCGTCCCCACCGGGGTGTCCCCCACGCCAGCTCCCTCCGCCGCACCGGGGGGCGCGGGGGGCCCGTACTCACTCCACCATCCTCCTGCGCCAGCGCTTGTTCTCGCTGGGGTGGTGGCGGTAGGTGCCGTAGTCGAAGAGGGAGTCCATGGGGGCTTTCTTGGGCGCGGGGACCACGGGGGACTCGTAGATGCTGGCCTCCAGCAGCTCCATGGGCTTCGGGGCGCCTTTCCGAAAGGCCCCGTGGAATTTCATGCGGAGGTTTTGCTTTCCATCCCCGGCACCGGGGGGACCCCGGGTTGCCTCGGCGGGGCTCGGGATGTCCTCGCTCTCGAACAGGTTGGCCAGAGAGGAGAGCGGGAAGGATTCGTTCTGGAGGGAGCCGTCCTCCCCCGCGCCCTCCCCGGCATCGCGCGGGGCGTCCTCGGTGTCTGCCATGGTCCCTGCCCGGAGGGACGGGCACGACCGACCTGCCTGCCTGTGACCCCCGGCTTCTTCCACGAGAGCAGGAGAGCTGGCAGAGGAAAACCCCGTGTCACTCTCAAAAGACCCTCCCCATCCTCTCCCCGGGGCACCGAGCCTCGCGGCGGGACAGGTCCCACACCCACCCTGGCAGAGGTTGGGGTCGGGGGGAGTCCCTGAAGCTCAGAATCCCCCGGACGGTCCTGCCTTGTCCCGGCTCTCCTCAGCACCCACCTATCGCTGCGGGGACCCCTCACGTCTGCGGGGGCCCCTCCGGCTGCGGCGCTGCCGTGCTGGGCGAGGGCGAGCCCGGCCCCGCTGCGGTCAGCCGGGGTGCAGCCCAGGACAGGGCACAGAGCAGACCCTGTGCGCTGCGATCTGCCGCCCAAGGAAAGAAAACATTCCTTGGGATACTCCCCACATCCAAGGAAGCGTCCAGGGAAGCGCCCAGAGGCAGCAGGAGCTGCCACTGCAGCAACGCTGGGAGCGGGGCCAGGGCTGCTGCTGATGCTCCACAACCCAGGGGGGCTCGGTGGGACCCGGATCTGGGCACCGGGAGGGGACAGGCGCGGCACCGGGGGGGCTGCAGCCCGCGGCAGGGCAGGAGCAGCGGCTGGGACAAGAAATTACGGGTTTAGGTTGCCCAGAGGGACGCGGAGATGAAGGAGAGACGTGCTAACAGCGCGACCAGCAGAGCACTGCACCGTGTCACCGTGTGCAGGACACGGACAGGTGACTGAGCTCAGACACTCCCCCAGCCCCGCTTTCCACCAAAACCCTCCGTGAAACCCAGCAGCGTTAGGGCTCAGCACAGCTCCCGCCTGCGAGGAGCTCAGCCCTCCCGGGACAGAAAAAGCAGTGGGAAACGTGTCATTTTGTGCTGGACTGAAGCTCCGTGCGACAAGCCACAGTGGCAGGCTGGGCCCTGTCGGGAGGGCAGCCCGGCCGGGGAAAGGGCTCGAATGAGGCAGCGGGTCCTGGCAGCCCCGCGGCTTCCGTGGGCACGGGGGATGAGGGTGGGAAACTGCCCCAAAACCCTGTAGCGACAGAAAGGGCGTCCAGGCAGTGTCCCCTTCTCCCTGCCACCCTCAGGGAGACCCGGTGGGGCTGGTGCAGCCCTGGGGAACACAGAGCTGACAGTTTCTCCTCTTTGTTGACTTTCCTGCCATCCCTGTCTCTGCAAGAAATTCCACAAGCACCTGCCAAAGCCCGCAGCTCCCACATCCCGACCCCATGCAAAATCAGGGCCCCTCGCATGCCCGGGTTGACCTTGGACAACGGAGAAGAGGGAATTGCCAAGCACACGGACCCTGCGGGCTGGGAATGGGGACGGAGCACCTGACCTGTCCAAACTGTGCTGAGACTCGGAAAAGTGCAGCTTTAGGGAAAACCCGGCCACGGCACGGGCTGTCACACACCTGCTGTCACCGGCCAGGACAGAACTTGTGTGGGAAATGAGGGACTCAGGGCTGGTGCCACCAGCCCGGGTGCTGCCAGGAAAGGTGCTGTCACAGGGGTTTGATTTGGCCCGTTAGTTATTTGGGTTTGGATTTTTCAGACTTCCTCACCTCATGGAACAACTGAGTCAAAGCACAGCTCTCATATCCAACACAAACCCCACCTGTGCTCCCACCTCTTCCCAGCTTCCCACCAAGGTACCTCCCAGCTGGACCAGTGTCCCCAGTCAGTGCCCACCACGGGAGCACGGATGCTGTCACCAACACGGGGATGTGCGAGGACATCTATGGGTGGGTGGCAGGGAGGGTGTCCCATGACATTAAAGGGTGATCCGGTGGGAGTGAATCATGTTAGAAACGCTCATCCGGAGTGATGCAGCTGCTTCCCAAAATCATCCTCGCTGCTGGCCCCGTGCTCACCTCGGCACCAGCCAGGAGCTCGGTGTGGGCAGCACAGGGGGTTCGGAGCCGGGGGGAGCCCCTTCCTCAAAGCTCCGCCTGGGAACCCAGCCGGCACCTCAATCTCAGACCATCCATACGGGTCCACCTGGCCCTGATCAGCTCAGCCCTCGACCCCGGCCTCACCTGGGGTCTCCATCCTGCCCCGGTCCCCGTGAGCTGCCCGGAGAGCTCCATCCTGCCTCAGTTTCCGTGTCCCCTCACTGGAGGGGCTCCATCCAGCCCCTGTCCCCGTGTCCCGGCCCGTCCCACTCCCCATCGTGCCCCCCGTTGCCCGTTCCCCCGGCTCCGTACCGCGAAGGGTCCCGTGGAAAGTCCCGTAGGCTCCGGCGCCGCCGAGTCGCCCGGGGCCGGTCCCCAGAGCGGCCCCTCCCCGCCCCGGCCCCGGCTCCAGCGGAGGAGGCAGCACCGGGACCCGCCCTCGGGATCGGCCTCCGCGGCCCCGGGCAGTCCCCTGGGAACACCGGCCACAAAACAGCCCGCAGCAACAGCCCCAAAATACCCTTCAAAAAAATCAGCCCCCAAGAAAAATGTCTCTGACACAGCCCTCCCAAAGAACAGCTCCAAAAACCCTCCTAAAACCAGCCCCACCCCAGGATTCAGCCTCCTGAAAACAGCTCCCTTAGGGAAAAAACCCAAACCTCCCTACCCAAAACAGCCTTGCCAGGAACAGCCCCAAAACGCCATCCCTGAAACAGTCTCCCCAAACACCCTTCCTGACACAGCCCCCACGAACAGCCCCAAATGAAGCTCCCAGACCATGGGTAATGTCAGTTTTTATTAATTGCTGCTCCTGCCGGGGCTCAGGAGGCGAGGGGGGCTCATAAGGCACCGCAAACACCGCGGGGACAGTCCCTGGTTTCCAAATCCCAGCGGAAGGGCTCGATCCCACGCCAGCACTGGAAGAGTTGGGGTCACCCAGGAAAGTCATCAGCTCCTCCACCACGGGCATCATTCCGGACGATCCAGTGCCAATCAACACATGGTGCCCGTCGGTGGGCTCCAGGCACAGTCCCAGTGTCACTTCTGTCATCAGCAGGTCACTTCATTCCCTGCCCCACTGAAGACAGGAATCGGAGAGTTGGGACTAGAAACGCTTTTTCTTCCCCTTGGGAAATCCGAGGGTGACACCCACAATTGTTTTATTGCCCTATTCTTAATAGAAAGTTAATTACTATTACTTTTTGGTTAGAAAAGATGTTATCCACTGCAGATCCAGACAGGAATCGAAGTCACCGGAGAGCTGGGAGCCACCCCAGCTGCCTCAGTGATGAAGACATAGGTAACACCCATCACACGTTATATAATCTGTGCCAGTCCTGTGCCAGCTTTAGGCTTTGTAGCTCAGCTCAGCGTTCATCTTCGTGTACATCTCATAAATTGCATCCAGGATTGGAGTGACTCTCGTGAGAAACTGGTGGATTTTTTCTATGCTTTCCTCTTCCTTGACTTCTTTACCCTTCTCCAAGGCCTTCAGCAAATCGGATTTGTAGGGAAGAGCATAGATTGAGCCCTATAAAAGAGGGAGAGGGTGTTTGACTCCCACAAACCCAACAGAGACCACGGGTTGCATTGTTCCCATTCACTGGCCACTTGTCAGTGCATGGGAACAGCCTTAGGGATGATGGCTGGATGTTTGGAGAGGGAGGGAATGCTCACTGTGAAGAGCTTCTGCAACATCCAGCCGTGGTATTTCTTCAGCGCGATCTCGTAAGCCTTCAAGGCGTTCACTCGGATGAGGTTGGGATGCTCCTCATCCCTCTCACCGTCGGAGATGCTCTGCAGCAACACCAGAATGAATTTCAGACCCCTGGGAGAAGAGCAGAGATGTTGGACTCAGGGAAATGGGTGCTGTTTCTCAGCTTCCAGCCCAGTGTTTCCAAGCATCCCAAAAACCCACAGTCCCGGCAGCACATCCCTCTCGCAGAGCTGGTGCCTGTCCCTGTGTGCCCATCCAGGGAAGAGAGAGAGAAGGGCTGGATGGAGCCCCTAGGGCAGGACATGGGGCCCAGGGCAGGATGGAACTCCCAGGAGAGGCTGTGGCTGAGGGCAGAGCTGGGCAGGGTCAGGTGCAGCCCCATGGATCCTCCAGGCACTGCAGTGTCCTGACATGTCCAATCTGTGGGCTCACGCTCCGAGGCTGAGTTCCCAGGGGGAAGATCTGGGGAGGGGTTTCCCAACAGCTATGCTCCCCAAACACAGCACCCCATGCTGCCCAGCCCACAGGGACCAGCCCAGCCCACACAGCCTCCTTTTGGCATTCTCCAGCTCCCCACATGCCGGGACACAGCCGGAGCAGCTCCTGACGCCGTGAGTCACCTTTTCAACCACATCAGCGCCAGCGTCGCGCCTATCTTGGGCCAGGCTGAGCCGTGCAGCTCCTTCTCCACCTCCAGGATGTTCTGCAGCGTTTTGAACTTAGCAGGATTGGAGTCATAAACCGCCCGGATTTTCTGAGGGCAGAAAAGAGAGTTGGCTCCCAGGCACAGGGACTTTGGCAGGAGCCCCAGCAATAAACCTGTGACCGGATGAGCCCAAAGTCCCCATGGGAAGAAAAGCCTTTTGAAACACCTCCAGTCTCACAACATCTCTCCCCAGGGATTCTCTCTGAGTCCTCCACAGTCCCTTCTTACCTTGATATTCCCAGTCAGGTCTGCTTTGACCGGTGAGTAGACGATGGGAGTCCCCAGGCAATCTGTGGAGACAGGGAATGAGGACAGTTAGACATTGGTGACACAGGGGACACCACAGACTTCCTGTAACCAACAGGTTTTACTTTAAGCACAGCCCAGGCACTGAGACACACCAGCGGGACTAGAAAAAGATCTCTGAGGTTCGTACATGGTTATTTGCTCTTGGGACAGCCCTGCCACCTACTACGGCCCCACCAGTAACCTCTAATCCCCCTGGCTCCGGGACACAGCCCTGGCAGAACGTCCTGGAACAGCCTGACCGGCACCGGACACTGCCCGTCCGCAGGCAGGCAGCCCCATGTCCTGCCCTTCCGGGGCTGCCACCGAGCCGCCACACAATAGCTGACATTGTGGAGGGCAGCGGGCACACTGTGCCACGAGGGCGGCCACGCCGACACCCACCCATGTCCCAGCACGGGGTGGGATCCATGGGTGGGGTGGCAGCTCCTGCCCCGGGCGATGCCTCTGGATAGGATGCTCCAGGGCACGGCACGATGCTTCCCAACGGGGCTGCTCGGCAGGTTTGACAGGATCGTGATGCAACCCTGGCCCTGGCAGAGCAGCCAAACCCGGCGTGAGCCCTGGATCAGGTAGGGGGGTCACCACCCAGAACTGGGCACCCCGGAGCGGCTGAGCCCGCAGCAGGCCTGGTCCCAGCCCGCATCTCCCAGCCCCAGCCACCCCGGTCTCACCGAAGAACGGCGGCAGGTGCGCCACGGCCTCCAGGAAGGGCAAAGTCTCGATCTGCTTATCAGCCGGCAGCGGCTTGAACTCGTGCTCCAGCAGCAGCGCCATGTCTGGCGAACCGTTCCCCCTGTCCCCCTCACCGCTCCCCGGCTGAGGGGGCTCTGAGGGCAGCGGGGACCGACCCGGCAGCGCGCCCACGCCACGCTCCGCCCCCCGGCGCTCCGACCAATGGCTGCGCACATTCCGTACGGCCGGTACGCGGCCATTGGCCGGAGCGGCGGGGGGGCGGGACCTGCAACCCAATGAGGAGGCCACGCCCCCACCGCCCCCTCAGACTCGGGGCCGGGCCGTAACCGGGACCCCGCGCTGCCCCGGCCGCGTTCTGAGCGCCGGGCGGGCCGGCGTTAATTATTCAAGGGAGATAAATATTTTATAGGGAACAGATGGAAAACAAACCTCAACGCGCGGGAGTGATGAAACACCTCAGTGAGGGGTTGGGTGGGAAAATGACACCGAGCAGGGACACGGAGAGGTGAAGAAGGGGTGGGAGCGGAGGGAGGCTCAGCCCGTCTGCTGCGTGGGGAGGGGGCTTGCCGGTGACAGGGCCCCACATACGGTGTTTTTACCGGTTATTCTGGAAAAACAGGTCCTGTGGCGATAGCGATCGGTGGCTGGTAGGGCGGGTGTGGATACAAGGCGGGGGCTGCCGGCTGGTGCCGCCTCCCTCCCCGCTGCCAGACTCCCGCAGTGCCCGGACCCCCTCCCGGGACGCTTGAAGCCCCTCCCGGGGTGCCCTGAGCCCACCCCAGGGTGCTCGGAACCCGTCCCGGCATGTCCAGAGCTCACTTGGGGATGCCCGCAGCCCCTCCGGCGGTGCCCGGCCTGTCCGGGTCACCAGCGGCCGGTCCGGTTGGGTTCGCCGCGGGCGGCGCCGCGCTGGTGCCGTTCCAAGGCGGGCAGAAACAGAAACCTTTAACCCCTGAAACATTTACAACGCCACAAAGCCCGCGGTGCTGCGCGCTCCGAGCCGCCACAGCGGCACTGCGCCCGGCTCGGGCTGTATCAGGGTGCGGCGGTACCGCCGGGCCGGGTCAGAGCGAAGCGATTCCCCGATCTCCCCTCCCGCCCTGCTCGCCTTCCTCTCTCCCCGCCTCCCTCCGTCGGTCCCCGCCTCTCTCCGTGCTGGCGGAGCCCGTCTCGCCGTGTCCCTCGGCGGCAGCCGTCGCGGGCGGGCCGCGATGTCGCTGTGGCTGCGGCGGGGCCGCGGGCCGGAGCGCAGGGCGGCCGAGCGGCGGGAGCTGGAGGAGCGCAGGCGGCAGCAGTGGGAGAGCACCAGCCGCGCCTTCGCCCGCGCCGCCGCCTGCTGCTCCCTGCAGGCGCGGTGGAGCGAGCCCCGCGTCCCCCGGCCCAGGTACGGCCGCGGTCCGGCGGGGTCCCGGGGCGGTGCCGGGCTCCCCCTGACTGCCGGTGTGTGCGGCAGCGCGGCGGCGGCGCGGAGGGACGCGGAGGCGGCGGCGGAGCGGCTGCAGCGGCGGCGGGAGCGGCTGGAGCGGCTGCTGGGCGAGGAGCGGGAGGCGCTGGCGGCGGAGCTGCGGGAGCGGCGGCGGGGCGGGATGCGGAGCCGGGAGCTGCGGGACGGCCCCGGAGAGTGCGGGAAGGTGAGAGAGCGGCCCGGGCGCGCCCGTCCCGCATCCCGGGGCTCGTCCGGTGAAGGGCCGCTCCCGTGCTTCAGCTGTACCAGCGGGACTTGCTGGAATTGCCACCGCTTGGTGCCCTGAACCCCTGTCACTCACCCTCGGCGGGGTTTGGGATGCCGAGCACTCCCGTATCCTGACCTGACCCAGCTCTCTGTTCCCAGTTTGCTGAGCCGCTGCTGCACGAGCACTGGAACAAAAACAACGCAGAGCTCCGAGAGGTGATGTTGCTTTTAGTCCTTGCTGCCTTGTATTTATTTTCAAGTTTTTAACTTGAAAGTCATCATCTCTCTACTGTTGTCACTCATTTCCCATCACAGAAACTACCCCAAGTTCTGATAAACAAAAGGCAAAAAAGTGAAAGGGTTTAAGGGTTTAAATAGTTTTAAGAAGCCCTCTCAAAGCTGTACTTTTAGAAGTTAGAAATCTGTTCAGACTGAGCAAATTTTCAGAGCTCACAATGTAAATATCTCAGGTGCATAAAATATAAATAATCTAAAAAGTATAAATCTTAATGTCTCAGCTGTACCTGCCATACTGTGTTGCTTCATTTTTTATTCCACCCTGTGCTGCTCCAACACCGCAGTCCTGTAAACACTGCGGTGTTTCCCATGTGACAATAACTCTCAGCTCAGGACCTGGTGGGCACCTCGGACACTCAGATGAGCCCACCTGTGCAGAGAGGGATCCTACTGGGGTTTCGGGGCCAGGTGGTGCTCCGGAAAGTTTGAAAGATCCTGGGGGACAGAACCTCTGGCACTGATGGCCCTGCTGCATCTGTTGTATCTCCAGGCAGAGTCAGAGCTGCACAGGAAGCACGTGAGAGAGGCTTGGGGTGACCAGCTAACACAACAAAACAAGGTATGGGGGTAGCCCTGGTGTCCTGGTGACTGGGAGGACACTGAAATATGTGTGCAGGAGGAGGGGTGACACTTGTGCCACGGGAGCTGCTGCCAGGAAGGGCACTGTTTACAAAGGCATCCAGCTTGCAGGAGTCTGCTCTGTGGATTTTCTGAGCCAGAAGTTGTTTCTTTGTGTCAGGCTAACATGAAATGCTGTTTTCTTTTCTTTGGGAAAGGAAGAGGTGACCAGAGTCGAAGAGAAGAAACATTATGAAAATGAGTACGAAACGGCACGAGGGGAAGCGCTGGAAAGAACGAGACAAGAGGAAGAGAAGCATCAGCTGGAGAAGCAGCAAGCAGAGACATTGCTTCAGCAAATAGAAGAACTGAAATTGCAGGAGACAAAGGTAATCTTGACTTTCTCCTCATTTGAGAAAGGAATTTGTTGCTTCACTCGGAAATACAGCAAGGCTGACCTGACCTCTTCCCTCTATGTTTGCACTGCAGGGAGGGTTTTCCCTGCCTGCAGAGGAATAGAATAGGGTACAAACTCTAGTCAAGCATGCTCTCTGGGATGTTGTAGCTCTCTGATGCACCTTTTGGTGCTTGTTTTTCCTTTTTAGGCAACAAAGCTGAAAAAGGAACAAGAGAATTTATTAAAGCAGCAGTGGGAGCTGAAGAATTTGGAAGAAGAAAGGAAACAAATGGAAGAGCACCGTAGAAAAAAAGAGCTTGGGTAGGACACCAAGTGGAGTTTGTTTTGGATAGAATCTGTTCCTGTGCCCACAGCAGTACTTGGGGCACAAGGAGATACTCCAGGTAGCAGTGGTAGGCTGTAAATATCTGGGTTTTGGTGGACTTGCCTGACAAGGAGCAGAGCCACTGGTGCTGTTACTGCTTTTTTGTTCCTGGTAGCAGGTTCCTCATTGTCACAGATGTACCTCCCTGAGTGCTGCTGTACAATGATGTGGTGCTTTAGAGTCAATGTGGTACTGTTTTGGTTTTTTAATTTTACTTTCTTCCTCCTTCAGTCGCTTTTTGAGGCATCAGTGTGATGTCCAGTTAAGGAGACGGGCACAGCAGATACAGGAGGAGCTGGTAAGAGATTAATTTATACTTTTATAGATGCTGTGTGATGAAAAAACTTAAGTGTGGTTTGTGTCTGCCTCTGATTCCTATAGATCAGGAGGCCCCTTCCAGCTTGTGCACAGGGCTGGAGCACAAAGTTCATGGGGAAGCAGCAGATGTAGCATCTTGCTGAGCACACCCTTGACATCCTTGGCTCCTAGAGGAGCCCTGCACACAGGCTGGGAGGCTGTTTGGATAATCTCGTGGTTTTTCTCCAGGAGACAGACAGGCAAATCTTATCAGCCCTCCTGGAGAAAGAAGATGAGGATCAGCACTGGCAGATCGCACGGCGGGAACGGGCCGTGGCAGACGTGGCCTGGATGAAGAAGGTCATCGAGGAACAGCTCCAGCTGGAAAAGGAGAGGGAAGCAGAGCTTGAGACTATCTTCAGGTGAGGCTGCCCACCTCTGATCCTCACCTGAAGAGTGCTGAATGTTCTGGGTCAGGGTCACTAAGAGGCACAGGTGGGATGGACACACCAACTGGCAGGGAACAAACCTGAAGAGAAACCCAAGTGCCTCTCTAAAGCACAGGATAGCTTGTTTGTGCCTGTGGAGTATACAGGGGGGTTAACCTCAGAGATAATTCTTCCTTTCTCTTTTAGGGAAGAAGCAAAAAAAATATGGGAGAAGAGGGAAGAAGAATGGGAAAGAGAGAAGGTGGCCAGAGATCGCCTGATGAGTGAGGTGATGACCTCTGTTGATGATGTGTCTCCCTTGGCTCAATTAAACCATCAATCCACTTGTAACCCAGCACCCTCTGGAGAGTTAGAGCCTTCCATACCAGGCTGGATTTTTTCTGCTTGTCTGGTGTGTTTCCTGGGAACTGTTGAACCATCTTCTCCCTCCATCTCCTGTATTGCACAGGTCCTTGCAGGCAGACAGCGCCAGATCCAAGAGAAGATGAAGTTAAACAGAAGGGCCCAAGAAGAGTCCATTAAGTATCGAGAGCAGCTGATCAGAGAACTCGAGGAGGCGAAGGAAGGGACTCGTCAGGAGAAGGAGCAGGAGGAGGAACAGCAGAGAGCCCACAGGAGGGAGCTGCAGGCACAGGTAGGCTGAGCTCCCAATACACACCTGGCTACTGAGGCTGCACCATCTCACCCGATTTCCCCTGCACAGGGGACAGAGCACAGCCTGAGAGAGGAGGAGGAACAGCAGGAGGAATCAGCCCAGCAGCCCCTCGAGGAGGTGGAACGGCAGGAGGGCAAGCAGGGCTGGCACAGCAGGGTAAGGTCACACCTGGGTCCCCCTGGCACATGAGCCTAGCATGGAGGGTGACAGCATTGTTGTCTCTGATGTGCACTTTAGTCATCACAGTGCCAGGGCACAACCCTGGGCTGTTCCTTCCCCTCAAAGGGCTCTACAGTTCTCCCTATTCTTTTTTGCTGATACTGATATATTAGGCCCTAACTTTTAAAGAATTTTTGAGGCAGACGTGTTGCTAATGCCTCATATGTTGCTCAGTGCTGAAAGGCCTGCATTAGTGCAGTTGGTACAGTGCAACTCCCCTGCCCA